AATAGCCCAATGCAGAAGGCATGTTTACTCAGCAGTCGATCCTGCTGCAGTCTGTGGGGCTTGCTCCTGAGTAACCATGCAGAAGACTGCAGGGCTGAGGATGAATTACGATACTCCTGGTCAAATGATGCACATTTGTTCCTTCTCTTCCCCCTTCCTTCCACTTCACTTTATTCTACGCAGTTCTTACATCCCTTATTATCTACTTATTTTTGATGACCCCGTCCAGAAACAGCTTCCCAGCCATAGTGGCTGGGTGAGTCTGAGAGTCGCACTCCGAAGCCCATCATAGCCAGTTGAAAGGAGGATGGGAGTTGTCCTCCAATATCTGAAGAGTCATTGGGGGCAAAAGCCTTATTCAGATGTTATGTGCTGTACTGTATTAAATGGAGGCGTGAGCTCTAATCGTGCCCTTAATTGTCATTTCCTCTTCTTAAGGAAGGATTGCAACGAGTCTGAAAATGGATAGGATTGCTACTCATGACTGGGGATTATGGAAAACCAGAAACCCAACCCATGTGGAGAACACATACCCCCACCCCAAAGTGGAGCATTCCCTCTTCCAGCTTATTGCTGTCCACCTGTATGAGGATGACAAAACCAAGGATAGGCTAGAAGTCTTCCCTGCCAGTGTGGTCAATTTACCTTAATATATGATACCTGAATAGGACCGGGGTCTTGGTGATGCAGTATGGAGCCATAACATTTATTGAGTGGCTTTCTTAACCTAGAAGGGGATGACAGAGGATGAGATGGCTGAACAGTGTCATTGAAGCGACCAACATGAATTTGACCCAATTCCGGGAGGTGGTGGAAGACAGGAGGGCCTGGCGTGCCCTGGTCCATGGAGTCACCAAGAATTGGACACGACTAAATGACTAAACAACAACAAACTTGCAAGGTCATTATGAGGATGAAGATGGTAGTGAAGAAGAGAAAGTCATGTTTTCTGCCTGCTCTGGAGGAAAGACAGCATTTACTTTTAGCAAATCAGGAATAATATACGGAAGACCTCATGCTTCTCATAGCTCAGCAGCTTATGTATCTCGCTGTGGTGCTAGAGGTTGGAGATTTGGTTCCCCACGGTGCCTCCAGTGAGTAGAACCAGCTTATGTGGCCTTGGGCAAGCTGCACAGTTCCAGCAGAAGGGAAGGGCCAACCATTTTTGTGTACCCTCTACCTAGAAAACCCTAAAAAGGATTGCCATAAGTCAAAATTGACTTGAGGGCATATGAATATCATATTATTCAGGATTTACCCGTTCTCTGTCTTACATGGCGTTTTCTGTACTAAGGGAGTTAGAGGAAAGGTGAACACTCTTTTGTGCCAAAGGATGACATGTAACAACAAGCTGTGTGTTAGGCGTTGCACAGAAACAGTAGACACAGCCAAATATCCATTGGGTATATATGAGCAGCCATAGGCCCAAACATAACACATTCTAAATGTGTACAATTAAAGTTATGTTCAAGAAGTCTTTTGTGCTGTCAAAATATAAATTGTTAGCTCTTTGCAAGCAAGGCAAGGAGTCTAAAAAGAGTTTTGTGTTTTTTTTTTGCTTATTCTTTTGCCTGTACAATACCAGATAATGCATGCTGGAACAAGGACTTATTTAAATATTGAACTCGGGTGATGAGCGCAAAGGAGGTGTAAGAAAAAGAGGCTATTGAGCAAGAAAAAGAAAATAGACTGGGGGAAAGGTTGGTGAAGTTGAAAATCCCAACTCTGCTCTGAAAAGCAGTCAAATGATTACTGAGCATTCTCAGCTCTAACTATCTGTAAATCTAGATACCGTATTTTTCGCTCCATAAGACGCACCAATTTTTTAGGAGAAGAAAACAGGAAAATATAATCTGTTTTCTTAGCTCCATAAGACGCACAGACTTTCCACCCCCCTGTTTTGTGGGAAAAAGTGCGTCTTATGGTGTGAAAAATATGGGTACTTCTCAGTCCCACTGTTTTCTACAGGATTTTTTTTCCCTATCCTTCCCTCTCCTTTGGGATTTTCTTGCCTGCAAAATGTCCTCTGTTTCTCCCACGGAGTCCTATGCATAATTCCTTCTTCAGTGTAGTGCAGGAAGGGATGACTTCCTCTGCAGGATCCCTTTTTAGCACTTTTTGTCAGTTGCCACTTCCTACGCCTGTCAGTGTGAAACTGACAAGTCCTGCAGAGCTAGGCTAATAGAAACTGACTAGGGTTGGAGCCTGAAATTGACAACTGCAAGAGAAGGGTTCAAGAATCCCTGGGAGAATAATACATCAACCAGAAGGAATTCAGGAATTCATCTTGAACAGGAAATTGGTGGCAGGGGGAGCAAACAGGGATCAGCATTTCTGCACCCTAACCCCTTACCCACTGAGGGAAATATTTCAGTCTCCAGTGGAGGTCCGTGAGGAATTTCCTTCTGGATTAAAATTTCAACAATTGCAGGATTTCCTTTTTTTTTCCTTTTTAAGAAAAACCAAACTATTAGAATACAGGAGTATTGGTTGCATCTATATGCAGTGCTTGTGGAATACTGATTATGGAATTCATATTGATAGGGGGAAATTAAAATACCTGTAGAAGATTGTACAGAGAGGGATACATAGCATGGGACTCTGAAAAGGTCCCATTTTTTGTAATAAAAGTTGTTTCAGGTTTGCCTTTTGATTGTTATGGAGTGGTGGTAGTTGGGAAATGCTCTATAGTTTTGCTTTGAAGCCCTGTCTCTCAGAGTCAAGCATTTGGACAACAGGATGTCAGTGTTCCAGGATGTTCAGCTGATGTTATTGAATAGAGCCAATGTTTGGAAGATATGCAGTGATCTCTCTGGAATGTTCTGAATAGCAGAGAAATCTGGGCTGCTAAAGAGATGGGAATGACATGACGTGTGTGTGTGTGTGTGTGTATGTGCAGTAGAGAAATCTGGGCTGCTAAAGAGATGGGGATAACATGACGTGTGTGTGTGCGTGTGTGTCTGAGAGAAAGGGAGAGAGGGGAATAAGAATTTTCTGGAAAAAAGGGGAAAAAGAATTGAGACAATTAACTTAAAACCAGGAAGCATTGGGGGAATCTTTCACACTATTTCTATTTAATGAGCTACTTGTATATTTAGGTGCACCCTACTAGTACTTTATAAAATTGTTAAAAAGAATATTTACAGTTTTTACGAATAAGGAATCCAGGATTCCCCCTGCCCCAATCATTCTAATTTTGGGGGGCTGCCTGATAAATAAAGATAAAACAAAGTCATATTTGAAATTGGAGTGATTTTGTTTTGAAAGCAGACATACAACAGAACGGTTGCATTATTATCACAGAATTGCCGAGCTGGAAGGGACCCTGTGCATCATGGGTCCTGCTCGTCTCAGGGAGGCACAGTAGGGGATCGAACTCCCAACGGGTCCTGTTCCTCTCAGGGAGGCACAGTGGGGAATTGAACTCCCAACCTCTGACACACTTAAACCACTGAGCTATCTAGCAGTTCACTAAGGACTTTTTGTTTAGGCAATATTGCTTTAACCTTGATGTTCATTTTCATAAATATCTCCGTCATCCCACCCTACTCCCCTCTCCCCGGTTCTCAGCATACCCTGTTTTGGAGGAGACGGTTGGCTTTATCCAAAGATGGATTAAGGTATATTAAGGAAATTTGCGTGCTGTGCCAAGTATCAAGAGCTCATAGCATTAACAAAAACAAGCATAGATAGTAGAGGGATATCTTTTTGAAATTCCGTATATTGAACTGTAGTTTCCTTTGCTTATGCATAAGTAGGGCACACAGCTAGTTAGATTTTTACTCCCAAACGAAGGATGATAACTATGCTGCCACATACTGTAATTCCGTGGTCTTTCATCTAGCAGTCCCCCAAAGGATCTTAACCAAGGTTTAATTCTCAACATCAGTTCAGCTGGTTTACTTCCTTCCGAACAGTAAAGAAGGCTGAAATGGGGCCCCAGGGAAGGGGGGGGAGGGTTTGTTTGAAATGTGGTGCTGGAGATTTGCAGATACTCTGGATTGCCAGATAGATAAACAAGTGGGTCCTAGATCAAATCAAGCCTGAACCATCTCTGGAGGCAAAACTGCTGAAACAGAGGCTGTCCTATTTTGCCCACATCATGAGAAGGCACGATTCTCTGGAAAAGACAATAATGCTGGGAAAGGTGGAAGGCAACAGGAAAAGAGGAAGACCAAATGTGAGATGGGATGACTTCCTAAAGGAAGCCACAGGCTAGAGCAGGACTGTTGAGGACAGGACATTTTGGAAATTGCTCATTCAAAAGTTGGAGACAATTTGATGGCGCATAAGAGCAATGGTCTTTGTTAAAATACAGTTGTGCCTCGCTAGACGATGATCCGTTCCACTGAAATCACTGTTTAGCGAAATCATTGTCTAGCGAAAAGCATTTCCCCATTGGAATGCATTGAAACCTGTTTAATGCGTTCCAATGGGGAAGAATCGTCGTTGTCTAGCGAAGATTGGCCATAGGAAAGCCGCTTTGCGAACCGCCGATCAGCTGTTTAAATCACTGTCTTGCAAAGCTTAGCTCACGAAAACACCCGTTTTGTGAGCCTGGAGGGAGCTGTCAAAATCGTCGTCTAACGAAAATCAGTTTGCAAAGCAGGGACCAAACATTGTCCAGCGAAATTCCCCCATAGGAATCACTGTTTTGCGAATCGCTATAGTGATCGCAAAAAGTCGATGTCTAGCGAAAAAACTGCCATGCGGGGTAACTGTCTAGCGAGGCACCACTGTAATAATTTACCCTTCCATTTTAACTGCTTCACAACAATTTATTGAAGGCAACTGGACAAGCTGTGAGTTACTTTCTCATGCTCTCTTGGTTTCCTGATTTGCCTCTGTGTTGTCAACACAGAACATGCGCCACCTCCTGTGTCCTCCTATGTGACGTCATTCAGGCTGTCAAGCCACTCACAAAGGATGAATCAGGGTAGCCACTCAGCCACAGTGGGTTTGTTCTTGCTTAGATGCCATGTTGCCATAGGCTGCTAATCCTGTCAGTCTGATTGCAGCTAGAACATTTCCTGCTTTGTCAGCGCCACCCCTTTTAATGTGCTGGTTTCTTTTCCCCTTCTTCCTACAGCTGAGTGAAGAATCGATCCTTTCTTACCACTGGCTGTTTCTCCTTTTTCTGCTTCCCCTAACGCAGGAAAATCTGTGAGTATAGAGAGGGTGTGAAGTGGGAGGAAAAAGTTAAAAAGCGATCAATCCAGTTATGAAGCTAGAGCTTAAATTCTTCCAAACTTCTAGTGGAAGAAGTGTCAAAACAAGCAAGGAAGCTTGTGGAATTTTAAATCCTCAAGAAGTTTTCGAGAGCTCCTTCCCATGAGTGGGTTCTAGTCCTGCCAAACATCTGTTTCAATAACCTGTGTCGGCTTCCAGATGTCACAAGCCTCTTGTTGTTTTGTGTGGCAGTTAAGCTTGCCTCTAATTGTCGAAGGAGAAAGAGTGAATCCTAGTGGCTAGAAGAGGCAAACCAGAGCTTTAATTATAGTTTTGTTGTTTCTTTCTCTTTCGCAACAAGGGGTTCATTGCAAGGGAGGAGGAGGTAAAATCTAGGATTCAACCCAAAGGAATGACAATCCAATCACCTGTGCTATTTTTTAAATGCTTTCTGCAATTTTGGACTTTCCCATCACTTGCTGATCTACTTTCGTCAGTGTTTTTCAGTTTCGATTTCCTTCCGTATTTATGCTCTGCTTCTATAATTCTATCCCTAGGTTTTTCTGCTTTTGTATGACTCAGCTCGCTCTCCTATGTCCCTAAAGGAGGCCAAGGGAACCTGTTTTTACAGATGTCACTTGATAACCGCTCCCAATTTCCCCAGCATGGCCACTGGGGGTGGATAATAGGAGCTGTAGTCCAGTCCCAAATGGGAAGGCGGCGTGTTCTGCAGCCTGAAATTAAAAGTACTCTTTCAGTCCCCCTTTCTGCAGAAATCCCGAGGTTTGTTAATAACTTTGGTTTACCCCAAAGCAGAAAAGTTGGTACAGTGGTGCCTCGCTAGACAGTTACCCCGCATGACAGTTTTTTCACTAGACATTGGCTTTTTGCGATCGCTATAGCGATTCTCAAATCTACTTTCGTCAGTGTTTTTCAGTTTCGATTTCCTTCCGTATTTATGCTCTGCTTCTATAATTCTTTCCCTAAGTTTTTCTGCTTTTGTATGACTCAGCTCGCTCTCCTATGTCCCTAAAGGAGGCCAAGGGAACCTGTTTTTACAGATGTCACTTGATAACCGCTCCCAATTTCCCCAGCATGGCCACTGGGGGTGGATAATAGGAGCTGTAGTCCAGTCCCAAATGGGAAGGCGGCGTGTTCTGCAGCCTGAAATTAAAAGTACTCTTTCAGTCCCCTTTTCCCGCAGAAATCTCGAGGTTTGTTAATAACTTTGGTTTAGCCCCAAAGCAGAAAAGTTGGTAGTTGTGCACCAAAGCAACCTTGACACCTTTCTTCTCTCTTGTGTCTACACCAGAGTTGCTGCCATGGAGATCCAGGAGGTGGACCTCACAGAAATGACCTCCATTATCAAGTCCCAGGTGATCTTAGAGGTGTCCAGTAAAGTCCAGTCGCTGCTAGATTCCCTCGAAATGACCACCCTCGAGATTGCCGTGACGGGCGAATCGGGTGCGGGGAAATCCACCTTCATTAATGCTCTGCTGGGGCTCAAAGACGGTGATCCACGCGCTGCCCCTACGGGTGTCATGCACCAAAGCAGCCTTGACACCTTTCTTCTCTCTTGTGTTTACACCAGAGTTGCTGCCATGGAGATCCAGGAGGTGGACCTCACAGAAATGACCTCCATTATCAAGTCCCAGGTGATCTTAGAGGTGTCCAGTAAAGTCCAGTCGCTGCTAGATTCCCTCGAAATGACCACCCTCGAGATTGCAGTGACGGGTGAATCGGGTGCTGGGAAATCCACCTTCATTAATGCTCTGCTGGGGCTCAAAGACGGTGATCCACGCGCTGCCCCTACGGGTGTCATTGAGACCACGAACTCACCCACCCCTTACCACCACCCTTGTCTCCCTAGGGTGAGGCTTTGGGACCTCCCCGGGACAGGCACGCCCAGCTTCCAAGCAGAGCATTACCTGAAGCAGGTGGAATTTGAGAAATATGACTTCTTCATCATTTTGGCCTCGGAGCGGTTCCGACAGAACCACGCCGAACTGGCCTGTGCTGTGGCCGCCATGGGGAAGCGCTTCTATTTTGTCCGCTCCAAGGTGGACCAAGACCTGCAGGCTTCACGGCGACGAAGGCCGGCTCGTTTCCAGGAGGTCCGAGTGCTGCGGGAGATAGAGGATGATTGCCTCCGCCAACTGAAGAAAGAAGGCTTGGATTACCCAAAGGTCTTCTTGGTCTCCAGCTTTGAGTTGCACAGATTTGACTTCCAGCGCCTTCAGGACACTCTGGCTGAGGAGTTAGAAGGCCATAAGCGCCATGCCTTGTTGCTTTCTTTCCCCTCCATCACCACAGAGGCTGTGCAGAAGAAGAAACATTCGCTGCGCAAACACATCTGGAAGAAAGCCCTCTTGGCGTGTTTCGTCTCTGCCTTGCCTGGCTGCCCTCTCCACCTTAACATCCCTCTGCTGATGAGCACTCTAGACTCGTACCGCAGGAGTTTCGGCTTGGACGAGGCCTCCATGGAGGCATTGGCGATCACAGCCTCGAAGCCCTCTTATGAACTGAAAAAGCAGGTGTGTTCAACATTGGGGAAGGACTTCTCGGAGAACTCCGTCCAGGGCATCCTCAGACAAGCGGCCGTTTATGGGCAGGTGGCTGCCCAGCTGGTGAAGAACAAGGTGCCCCTTTTGGACAATTTGGTAGCTGGGGGGATCTCTTTTGTCGCTGCTTATTACCTCCTGCACACTGCTCTGGACAGCTTTGCGCAAGATGCCGAGAGGGTCCTTGTGAGGGCCTACGATCTGGAGGATGAATTCCAGGGCTCGACCTTCTACCCTCCAGAACCTGGATTCATCTATGATTAAAGATGGACCACAAAAGCTACCCAAGATTTTTTTTTGTAAGAATAATGGAGGATAGGTGTTCTGTCTCTCTCTTATGCTCCAGCCGTCCTCTCCTGCTTCACATTTGCTTTGCTCCAACCACCCGGGAGAACAGTCTGTGAACTCTGTCCATCTTCTTCCTTGTTCTACCAATGGATCCTTAGATAACTCTTCGGCGGAGATCTCCAAGGAGCGATGCTACACAATTTGGAAGCATTTCCTCACATTCCTATCAGACAGAGTATGACTTGAGTATTGGAAAAGTTGCCTCGTGCCATGAAAGATGAACCAAACACTAGGGTTGACGGTCAAGAATGCATATATGGCTGCCCAATAGAATAGAGTGAGGTCTTTCCTCTATCCTACGATACCAAATGGGCTTTGCCTTCACCCCTCACATCACCGACTAGCCAAAAACAAAAGGAAAAACAACAACAACAACAACCAGGGCAATAAACAAAAAGCAAAAGATCTACACAACTCTACCGGAGCCAACTGTGTTTACGTTGGACCTTACAGGTTGAAAGTCTACCAAAAGGTCTGGGAATTTCCCCTTCACCTGATCATTGCAGAGTGGGGTGTGGGGTGTGTGGAGTGAGTTTCCACCAACATCTCACCTTTATTATTATTTTTTTTTAGGGGACTGATTTTCTAGAGAAGGTGGAAATTGTCTTTTTGGATTGCTGCACCCAGAGTAATCTGTGCTGGGTGAGGTTCTCTGGAAGTGGTTGCTAAACTTAAGCCGACGTCTCCCCAGCTCTATAGGTCTCCCAGCAACAGGTTTTGTTGCAAAGATTATAACTATCTTCTGACTTGGTCTTTTTTTCTTTTAAATGATTTAATAGAAAGGAATCTGATGGGCATGGAGTGGGTGCAGAGGAATGTGAAAACTGGAATGGTTGGCCAACTGCTGGACATTCCATAGAATGAATAGGAGTGCTGACTAGCTACTTCTGCTCTTAAGGAACCATTTGATGTGTTGCTACGAAAATGGATCTTCTGAGTTTGTCTTTCAGAGTCCTTGCTCTCTCTCTCTCTTAGCATAAGCCTAGCCGGGCCTTGCCCTTCTTGAATCTGAGGCGGTATCAGTTTGGAGGAAAGATTGTGCAATGGGACAGCAGTATCCACAGGGGACTTGTTCCAAATCCCACCCACCCTCCCATTGATGTTGGAACTCACATACGTAGGAACCCTAGATATAGTATAATCTTTGGTCCCCTCTAGTGTCCAGTTCTGGTTCTACATCTTAGAAATGCACATTTATAGGGTTTTTAATTTAATATTTTTAAGCAGTGGATAAGTGAAACCATGGTTACAGCAGTACTACTACACTTTAGTAGGTCCAGCTTGCTTTTATATATGAAGACTCATGTGAATTGGAAGTATTATGGGCGGGATCAGTAGGAGACAATATTAATGGAAGGCAATGGTTTTACTTGAGAGGAAAAAGAATCCTGGTGCCCTTTTGATGTGTGCATCACAATCTCTCCCTACACACCAGTTACATGAGTACCTATAGCTCCTGGCTATAATTTTCATGTGCTAGATGGATTGACCAGCTCATGTCCTTTTTTAAAGATGAATCTACATTTTCTAACAAACTATTTTGATCTCAGAGCTCTAATGCAGAAAAATATATATATTTTTGCCCTTAACTTGACTAACTGGACAAAATACGGCTTATATTTACAAAGTAAAGGATATTTCTATTCAGTAAAATATTTATTCTTCCACCTCTTGTTGTCTTTGCAATCTGTTCATTCTGTCTGTGGGGCCAGGATCTCAAGCAATCTCTTATGACGTGAAAATGGATATGGGGACTATTAGAAGTTTCCAGCCTCTTACACAATAACCTAGCTATTGTTTGGGTCAGTTAGATACGTAGGGATGACCCACAGCAATTTTATGTGGCAATTGTGTTGGCAACAAAAATATTTTCAAGCTGCAATCAAACCAGATTCCATAGTTCCATTATTATATATTTTTGGATATTTCTCTCTCTCTCTCTCTTTAAATTACTTTATGCTATACCCAAGCACACTAAATTTCCTGATATACAAATGACTAGCTGTTCCGTACTGGAGTTACACCACAGTTCTAATAACGTAGGGTAACTTTCTGGACAACAAGCAGATGGCAAAATGGTGTCCCAAAAAAGGGAGACCACGAGAAGGTAGCAAGAGAAGGAGGAGATATCCCAGGGAAAGAGTAGGGTACATGGAAAAGTTTTGGGCTCTGGAGATGGTGGAACATGGAACCAAATTGGAGAATTGGGAATGAGTTTAAAAGCAGAATCTCTGGCTGGATGGCTAAGTGAGGTAGGCATGAGGTTGTAAAGCCAGAGGTTGGGAGTTCAATTCCCCAATGTGCCTCCCAGAAATGCCAGCCTGGGTGGCCCTGGGCAAGCTGCACAGTCTCAAATGTGAGAAGAAGGGAACGGTGAATCACTTCTGAGTATCGTCCCTACTCACAAACCCTGAAAAGAATTGACAGCACACATTACAGTGGTGCCTCGCTTAACGAGCGCACCGTATAACGACGAAATCGCATAGCGATGGGGTCTCAGCGATCACAAATGTGATCGTATACCAATGGCCCCTATGGGCAAAACTTGCTTTGCGAAGATCAGTAAGCGTTTCGCTTACCGATCTTCACAAAACGAAGCCTGATGATCAGCTGTTTGGCAGCTACAAAATGGCCGCCGGAAGCCCCGAAATGGCTGCGTGCAGCGTTTTCGCACCCTGCCCTCGCTTAACGAGGGCGCAAAAATGGCTGCCGGACCGGGGAAGCATCGCTGAACTGTGAGTTTTCGGCCCATTTGGAACGCATTAAAAGATGTTTAATGCGTTCCTATGGGCTTTTCTGTCCCGTTCAGCGATGTTACGCCATAGCGAAGGTTAATCCAGAACGGATTAACCTTGCTATGTGAGGCACCACTGTATGATGATGATGATGATGATGATGATGATGATGATGATGATGATGATGACTACTACTACTACTACTACTACTACTACTACTA